AGATATGGAAATTAATCTAATTTCCTCATTGGCCTCCACAGACTCGCCAATTAAAGCAATTATCTATACCCTAGCAATTTTCTTAAGGACTTTATTATGAATTCTCAAGTTTTCAAGTAAATGGAGAACAGAGGTATTTACATATAAATTTCGATTTAACTTATATTTTTGCTATTAACTTACTAACCATAAATTCAACCTGAGGTGACATCTTAGAGCTTATAATCGGTAAAAAGTTAGGAAGAATCAATCAAGAAATTGAAAAAAATATTGTAATAAATGGATATTTTTTACAGCAATTTTTTTATAATTATGGCATTGAATTCGGCCCAATTTTTGCTAGCATCATTGGCTAAATTGGTGCTTCGCCTATATTAAGAGGTGCTTCTTGCTTAAAGAATACTGGAGGAGTTTCTTACTTTAATGAATGGAGTGTTGGTTTGATCGCTGGGACCAATAAATATGATGCTTGAGAACAACTGTCCATTGGGTTTAATTAATAAATAGTTGAAAATACTAAGAAATATGGTGAAAGGTAATAGATCTTTTCTACAAGAATGTGTTAGGAAAATCTACCGGGTCCCTTCTATTACTATCCGGTCAGCTTTCGTGGATGACAGGCGAACTCCTAATGGAGTGCATTAACGGAGCCATTTATGCGATTGTTACGTATTTTTGAGCTTACTCGTACCCTCTTTCCAGGTCAGGAAGATAAGAATGGAGAAATTGGGTAGGATTTGATAGAATTAGGACCATAAGGCAGGTTGATGAATTATCAAATCAGGTAGTGGGTAGTAGGGGTGATTGCAGCCATTTATCATTATTGGCTTGGTATTTGGTGCATTTCGTTAAGGAATAGTCTCTGGCTCTGAAGACATTCGGCACGTAATGCTTGTGAGCTGATTTCTTTATTGCCGAAATCAACAGCAACAATTAGTAAAGACCATTAGCCAAACCGCTCCACTTAGCTTTTCGTAATGACTTTAAAATCTATGGCATAAAATCATCATGGAATTTTTGTAAAACCAGCTTTAATTTATTGGTTTTGATAGTTAGACTTCGTAGAAGATTTACTTTACAAAACTTGGATTATTTAAATATCATTTTATCTGCTTTTCACATAAATACAAAATCTAGGATGGTTTACTTTCTAAAACGATCAGAGTGTTTTTATAGGTCAACGATCGTCACTATAAGACCTTAGTCATCCTAAGTCGCTTAAGGTGATTTAAGGTCTCCTTGCTGAGTTTTCCCACAATTCAATGTATGGGTTTCATTGTAACATTAAATTTCATTTAGCATTGTGCCCCAAAAGGCTATCTCATCTGTCTCAAACCGCTTTAGCTGACTAAGTTCTTATTCAAGAACTACTAATGATCTCGAAGGATTCGTTGATAAAAATTGAACTTTATGATTACCTTGAAACAGTATCACTTTTAGTAATATAAGAAAAATCATAAATAGCGGAATTAATTATATTTCATTATTTAAGCAATTCATATATCAGATAATGATAATGGCAATGACTTTATGACTTTATTATACTTTTGTATGCGACTAAAAAAACCTACAAGACATATAGATAACATGTATTTTTGCATTTCGATAGTATTATTTACATACTTCAATGCTATCTTCCCTTTATTTGCTTTCTTCATTGAGTACAATCTTTTAAGGATAATAATCGTATATCTTAACTTTACCTTTCAGTATCTTAAAAAAAGCTTATATTAATATGAGATATATTCACCCTATTTCGTTTAAGGCGATGAAGGACTGGTAGTAGAATTTTCACACAATGATATGAGTAGAGCTGACGTTTCCATTGAATTTCAGATAGCCTTGCTTTCCCAAAAGTTTTTCTCGAAACTACTTAAATATAGTAAAAATAGGCTTATATTAAGCAGTATAAGCTTAAGCGTACTTGTAATTTCTAGCTTCGTAGTCAGCATCGTCAATGAGAGGCGCTATCGTAAGCAACGAGTTACAACTTATCTAAGTGACAAGTGAAGACAATCACCTTGATCAATTTTATGTTCAACCACTGTGACATCACTCCTTGACTCTATTTTTGTTCTGCCTTATAGTGCCAAATTTATTTCTCTGAAGCTTATCCACTTGTTCACACAATTATGTGCTTTAGTTTCCTCCAATGTCGTCTGAGAGTGTGTCGCTACAAGTGGGTTTATCGAAACGTAATCATCTCCACCACCGATCCCAGATGCCGTTTACACGACTTCTTACCTACATTCTGCCTCCATTTTTTTCATACCTTCTTGTCACTTGGTTATCGCTGTTTAGCTGTCTGAAATCTGGCTGCCTGAAAGCCTTCAAATACCGTCCTTGTTTACGCCATATTAGAGGATTGAGAGGCGATGATGCCCACGTCAGTGCCTGGGAATCTTTCTTTCCCTAGGCTTCAAACTAATAACTCGAATCTCTTCGTTCTCATCCCCACCTACACTCTGCCTTATTCTTTGGGGCCCTGTGTCCGGCTGAAGTCATAATCGCGGATGTGTAAATGTACCGCTTCCCCTTTTTTTCCTGAATCGCGAAAAGTACTCCTCTTGTCCTTCAAGTTCAAATTCTCATCTAATCCTAAGGTACTAGGATGCTCATTTATATTTTGGTTGGTATCCCCCGTGGTCAGGTATGCCACCAATTACCTACCCTTCAAGCAAAAACCCGGAAAATGCTCGCAAACGCCCACCCACCCACACACACTGGTGACCTATACCTCGCCTACCTATGCATTTAGTCCTTAATTTCATATCATACGTGTCAAAGGTAGACCCCCGGGTAGATTTTTTGCTGAATCTCCAAGTCTTCCCGGGCAGTACGCGAAATTATCGCTGATTCTTCTCTTCCATTCTCCTGTTTATCGGGTTTCTTTGAAACAGGATGTCTACAGCCTCTCTGACTTTCCGTCTCCTGGTGTTTTCCCCATATGAGGCCAATCTTTCCGTTGCACTCCATTCAATTGTCTGGCCAGTAAGGGTGATGTGTTCAACTATCTACAATTTTTCCGTATCCATTTTTCTGCATAGTCGTTTTTTGTTCTTTGATCCTTGTGCTGATTGTCCTTATCAGCTTTCTGATGTATTTTTGTTTATAGTCCTTACAGTTTATGCTGTTGACTTATAAAAATTCCATTTTTTCGATTTCTTCATATTTGTTAGCAAAGCTGGTGAAGGGGTTGTCCTTTCCTTCAGGATCGTACGAATGTTCTATTTCATCAGTATCGGCCGTAGCTTCCGAGCCAATTCGCAGGAGCATAGACATATATATAGTTTTTCCTCTTTTCCTCTTGCTGACCTTTCATAATCTTCGTCCATCCGTATGTTGCGTTGTATTGCTTCTTCTGGATATCCGTACCCAGCGGTTGAACAGAAAATTGGCTAAGGGGATTGCCTCCACTTGTCATTTTAATAAATTGTAACTCTCTACTTACGATGGGGCCTCTCATTCACGATACCGGTGGAACTTTTGGGAATGTACCAAGTCAATAGTCACGAATACTATGGCAGAGGATATAGGACCAGGTAAGTTCTACGAGGTCTACCTGACGCTCCGACAAAGTTGCGAACACAAGTTCGAACCAACACTATGAAGCATTGAATTTTATGTGGATATATTCACTGTCTAAAAAAGAGTGACCAAACAGAAGGCCACACCATCTTCGTCTTCATATCTTCGATTTTTTCGTTTAAGTTTAGTTCGTTCTAACTTGCCTATGCCTTAGTTCAAGAGCAAACTTCCATTTTGCGGCGACCTGTTTCTCGAACAGAACCATCAAAAGAGGAATTCAATACTTGTTATGTTGAGTATCTTTGCTGATCTATAGTTATATTTTTGTAAGCTCTCTTTCTAGTTTTTCGTTTGTCGCTAGGGTTTGAGACCATCAGTAAATCAGTTATATGGTATGTGTTTATCCTATTTTGTTGAAGGTGATGAAGGACGTTAGCTCTACTCACATTATTGCAGGAAAATTCTACCATCACTCCATCATCTTAAACGCAATAAGGTAAATGCAGCTCATATTTTTAAAAGTTTGTTGGATATCATAGATTTTTATTGGGATTATTTATGCATTAGCTTGGGGGTAGAGGAAAGATTTCTTCAAGATTATTTAAATGATTCAATTATTGTAAATTCAACTATCAGTCGTTCATTACATGCGACCTAGAGTGACTAGAACTCTTATTCAAGATTTACTGATAGTCTCGAAATCTACTTTATATGAATGTGAGTTTATGTAATCTAGCTGTTTATCTCACCAACTTAACTTACCTTCATTTAGTCATTAATGCTTCGCTCTTTTCTTCACTTAATTGATTTCAAATTCAAGACGTGCTGATATCCTGGAAACCTACCTTCTTCTTTCCTCGTTTTGATTATTGTGCAATTTCCATGCCCCGTACCTACTTTTTTTTAGGGATGTTGCTTATTATTGTCTATGCTTCAAAACTTTAAATTCCCGCAAATTATGAAAAACTTGGCTTTTGGAGCCACCACTCAAGCCTTATTTTTAGTTGGATGTGTATAATGATATGAAGTTTTATTCTAATTTTTACATCTTTTCTTCTGGTCAGTCTGAGCAAATCGTACTTTGGTGATCGCAGACACATAGTTACCTGTATTATGGACCTGACATTAAACAATGACAATTTGAAATATATTCTAGTTTCATCACAATTAGTCTCTTTAGATACTTAACCGAAGCTTAAAGGCGGCTACCCAATTTACTTGGGGTACTGAATGAGGCATATGCTTGTCTGTTAACGTGTATCGAAATATTGATGACAATGAAATAAATAACGAATTCTTTCTTTGTGAATTAGAATATTATTAATTGAATATGGGTAATGAGTTATATTTGCACAAAATATTGTCTTAATCCACATTCTTGTTTTATGTTTTCCTAGGCCCACAGCGCATTTTACGACGACTGCTTGCATTTCGGCAATTGCTCGTTTCTGGCGGCTCTGTCAATAGCTTCACTCGATCACACTCAACCGGCGGTCTTGATCCGGTTGCCTTGATTCATCCAACTGGCTTAGCAACGCGTTTTCTTAGCTCGTCACCTCGACGGCCTTGTGTACGACAGATACATTCTGCTAGCTCTAGTGATCATTTGGCTCTCCATAACTCTAGCCTTAGCAATGAATATTCTAAAGAAGAGAGTACTGGCTTTCAGACGACATCGTCTCGAGAGCAGGATGAATATCAGAAGCAGAGGCAAAAAGAATATGAAGTTCCGCCCGCCAATTCCAACCGATCGGATAGGGCGGGCTCTTTTTCAGAGGGCTTTTCCCTTCTGGCTTGTGCTGGTTCTGCACAGGGTAGGTCGACTCGATCCAGTACTCACTTGATTCATGCACTACGACGGCGCTTTTCATTGCGCTTGCGGCGTCGATCTGGTCAGGCTAATTCAACTGGCATACAAGAAGCCGCTTTTGTGCTTGCTAGCTCTGGGGAGTCTAGAAAAGCGCCATTCGTACCTGTTCAGTGCAAGCGATGTGGTGTATCCACAGGATCCACTCCTTATGAACGCAGAGAATCATCATTAACCATGAGACCAGAGGAAGTGGAGCATTCTTTGGGGCTGGATACCGAATGTGCCTCCTGCCAACACTTAAGCAGGTCTCATTCTTCTATTCGCCTCGATTCCACTCTTATGACAAACGTGGTAAGGGTATACATAATTATTTTACACTATGCATCTAGACTGCCTGCTTATTGTTCCAGTATGTCAACTTCTTCCGAGCCTGAGTTATCTCTTATCTCTGTCTGACTCCAAATTTTATCATTTCACCTTCCTTTATTTTTTTACGGTTTCTTTATTTTCAATTTACCCATCTCTCTTTTACTCACTCTTCTCTTGTAATTACCTCTTTATTTAATTCTTAGTTTATTTTATTAGTTTTATTTTTTGTTCTACCTTGTCACCCATACTGATCGATGAAAAGATTGGCTCAACCATTCACTTGTCGATTAGGTATGAGTTTGAATCTGTTATCTTTCATATACAAAAACTGACTGGGATTCCATGAATTTCTTGAAATATGATTATATAAGTTGTGTTCACCCTATTCCGTTTAAGGTGATGAAGGACTGGTGGTTAAATTTTCCCACAATGATATGAGTATAGCTGATGCTTTGCATTGAATTTCACATAGCTTTGCTTTCCCAGAAGGTGTTCCCATCCAGGGCGGACTGCAGTTTCGACCTCGCATAGGTCTTATCAACACCCCAAGCGGGATTCTAGCCATGACAGTGCAGCATGTAAGCTCGACACGTTAGCCACTACGCCACATTGC